TATTTATTTGAGCATGGTTACCGTTGGAGAAAAAGAAATGGATTGGTCTCGATGTCAAGAGCTATAACAAGTCTTATATAAGTTACCACTTGCTTTACTCATAAGTTTTCAATAAATTTTATATTTTTAAATGAAAAAGTAACAAAATTTATATTTTTATCTTCGCTTTTCTTCTATCTAGTATGCAAAACACCAATTCTTGGCTTTTTATTCTTGACTTCTTTTATTTTCTTTTATTTTATTTTCTTTTTTCTTTTAACAACAATAATAAAATAACAGGCTTCATTAAATTTTTTCGTAATATTTTCTTTTAAGCGTTTGATAAAGTAATAAAATGTTGGTTTAAATTTCATTTTGGTCTCTCAACTTTTCACTTTGACCCAAAATTGTCCCTCAACTTTAAAAAGTACCAAAACTATCATTAAACTTTCATTAAACTTTCATTTTTAGTACTAAAATGGTCCTTCCATTAGTTAAATATACAGATGGCACGTTAAGTTGCCAGATAATTATATTTTTTTGAAAAAATTACTGATGTGGAAAAGAAAACACACAAATTAATGGGGTGGTAGTTTTTTTTTTTGTTATGTGGCACTTTTAATTATAATAAATAAATAAGGACTAATTATTATTAATTAATTAAAGTCGATTAACCTTCTTCTTCCTTATTCTCTTGTTCTTCTTCATCCTTCCCCTCTTTCTCTCTCTCGTTCCTAAGCCTGTTCTTTTTCACTCTTCCCTTTTGTCCTTGGGCCATCATTCCTCCGACATCTCCTTCGACATCTCTTCTCGTTCCATTTTTCCATTTCACCATTTTAGGTTTTTTTTTTTTTTTACAGAGATTAAGCGAATCTGGGTTCACCATCACCAGTGTTGGATTTTTTTTCTTCCTCCTCTCCTCTCTCTCTCAATCCTTCGAAAATCAAACTTCTTCCTTCCTTTCCCCACTCATCCTTCTTCTTTCTTCTTCCTATTCTTCTTCCTATTCTTCCTTCTTCTTCCTCTCCCAATCGAACCCAGATCTGGGTTTTTCTCAAACCTAAATCTGGGTTTTTCCCATCCAACGTCAACATCTCCCTACAAAGAATTGGAACCAATGTTGCATTCTTCCGCACAAACTACATGATTGTTGTCCTGTTCCTCCTCTTCCTCAGCTTGCTTTGGCACCCCATCTCCCTAATCATCTTCATCATCATCATGGCCCGTGGCTAAAAGAAAATGAACAAAATCAAAACCCCTAATAGTTATTTTAGCTTCCACCAAACAATTAATCATGCATCCAATTACTTGTCAACACCTGTATCCATCTTCATAGCTCCCACCGATATACCCAAAATCTCGTACAACGACGTGCAGGATGCCATACCCTAAGGTTTTAGATAACGAGATCCCTGTTCTTCCCTGGAAGTATAATGGCTGGTGGTTGCAACGGTGGCACTCAGAGGATAGAATCGAGTGTGGTGTAAGTTATAGGAGGTGGGTTCTGACAAACGTTGAGTTTTGAGAAAGGGACAAGCAAGGATGAGAAAGGAGGACAAGAAAGCATCCTAAGTAACTGTGTTATAAAGGTATGGGGTGGAAGATGGAAATGGAGATATGGGTTTGAGAAAAACCCAGATTTGGATTTCAGAAAAACCCAGATCTGGGTTTGATTTGGAAAGGAAGAAGGGAGAAGAGAGAGAAAAATAATAATAAGGAAAAAGATGAGTTTTTTTTTTTTTTAGTTTGAAAATTTGTGAAACAATAATAAAAAATATCAAATTTTCTTACTTGGAATTTACATGTCATTAAAATTAAAAAAATCCAATGATGTTGTGGCGTTTAACATGCCAACTGTCTATTTAACTGACAGAAGGATCATTTTAGTAAAAAAATGAAAGTTTAAAGATAATTTTGATACTTTTTAAAGTTCAGAAACAGTTTTGGTATCAAAATGAAAAGTTGAGGGACTAAAATAGTATTTAAACCTAAAATGTTTGATAAAGCAATAAAGTAGATTATTTCTTCTAACTTAAGAAATAATATCTTTGGGTTTTTTTTTTGAGATATAATTATATTATCATATGATATTATAAACATACAATATAATGTGTATTATATAATTAATTTTTTTACTTAAAAGTCCATTTATGATATTTTATGCATCAATTTATTTAATAACATATCTTATTTATTTAATAATATATCATAATTATAAATTTACAACCTTACATACTATTATATCTAAGTTAATTTTTAGAAATAATCTCCCTCTTAAGGATCATTGTTTTATACTCAATTTTTTATTTTTTAAAGAAAATGATCAACATTTTTTTAAAGAAAATTATTGGAAATTTACTATTCCTAACTTGTTAATTAAGCCTCTATTTAGTTGGACTATTGGTAATAGCTAGTAATTAGTAAAATAACTAATATCAATTTAAAATCAACTTAACTAAATCTTTAAAGAAAAAAAGCTATCAACCTATAGCTTGATTGAGATGTATCGTTCTACATTTTTTATTAGGGAGGTAAACTTAATATACTATGCGAAAATTAATTTATGATATTACTTGAGCACTATCAAAAACCAACATTAATTTTGTTACAAAGAGGTTAGGGTAGCAGCAGTGGGGATTCGAACTCACCACCTTGGCAGTTATCTTTACAGGGCTTAAGTGGCTTGCCCATTTATAGAAGCCACAAGGCTAATGCAGGCTGATGTTGGCAAAACCTTAATTTTAGGCTCTCACTTTCTTAAGTTTGAAAGATTTAATCTTCATCTTATATTATAATATTTTAAATTTATTATCTTATTAAATTTATAGGTTTTAACTCATCATCTTATATTATAATGCTTTTAGTCCCTCACCTATTAAAATTTTAAAAAATAACTTTTATTTTATAATATTTTGTTAGTTTTGTTAATTAACTATTAACTCTATTAGTTAATTATTAATTGACTATTAGTTATCAAAAACTTTTTTTTAGCTAACAAAGTTAACAGAATTAATTTTATAATATTTCGTTAATTCTATTAATTAGCTATTAGTTAACTGTTAGTTGATAAAAATCTACTTTCAGTTAATAGAGTTAATAGTCAGTATAAAGTGAATGTTATTTTTTTTTATTTAAAAAAAAAATGAATTAAAACTTACAAATCTAATAAGGTAGGAAGTTAAAAGTATCATAATATAAAGTAAAGAGTTAAACCTTTAAATTTAATGAAGTAAGAAGTTAAAACTATGTTTTTACCCTGTGAATGTTGATGGAAATGTTACCCCTTTAACTTTTTTTTTAAAATTTTTTTGTGGAAATATGGCTCATTTAGCTTTTTAATTTTTTTAATGGAAATTGCCCCTCATCGAAGTTTTTTAAGGTGTCCTCTCATTGAAGCAATATTAATTATATAAAAAAACTATTGTGTAGTTTAAATTATATAATTTAAATTATAAAATAAGATAAATCTTAAATATTAACCATTTTTTTTATTTAATAATTTTTATTTTATAATATAATATAACTAATATAATAAAATATGAAACCTTATTAATTAATTCTTATCACTATACCACTTTCATTACTTTGTGGATAAAAAAAAACTAATTTTAGTGGTTTTAGTCTAATTGTGCATGCTGCCATGCTTATCATGTGACATAGGTTCCACTCAAACCATTATTATACCCCAACCCAATTTTTATATTTTTTGTTCACAAGTAAGATGTTATCGGATTAATTCGTATATATTTTAAAATTAATTTTTTTTAAATTCAATCAAAGTTATATCATGCATGTAGATGT